AAGAAGGCAGGAACAAACTTGGATTGAAGAATCTATGGCATCTTACAGTATAGTGAAGAAACTACATGACGATAAAAAAACATTTAATTATAAGTGAAGGTCTTGCAATTCTCAAAATACTGTAAATGAAGACTAATAAGATTAAGCTTAATATATTAACAATATGCATTTTGAGCAATAAAATAACAAGTATTTTGAGCAACATATACTAAAACAACCAAATGAGAAAGCACCAGGAATCAACGCCATCATGGCTGAATTACTGTAAACAAATTTAGTTTTGACCAGAGAAAATTCATCATCTGATTAAGAAAATATGAGATTATGAAAAGACCCAAAACAGCTGGACATTATCATTTGATTATCATCAAAATACCAAAGAAAGGAAATTTTAAGGAGGTATAACTTTACTTTCTGTTGTAGGAAAGATACTTTGCAGGATTATCATTGATTGGATAAGAAATGTAGCTGATTGTAGGTTGAATAAGAAAAAGGCTAACTAAAAATAGGGCAGGGGGACAACAGAGCAAGTCTTCACACTGTGGAATATCATCAAGCAGGTAAATGAGTGGCGAGCAATGCTATATAAGAATTTTTTTAATTTTCAAAAAGTGTTTGACTCTATTAGGGCTGTGTTGACCAACACAGACTAGTGTTATTACATCAAAGGGATTTTATCAGCAAAGAATAATACATGATGTTGCTCTTTTAACTTGTATATACTGTATTTTGTATTTATTTCGTTTCTATGTTGTGCACACTGGGGGCCATTGGGCTGGAAATTCCTTATATTTTTTAAATACTTGGCAATAAAGTTATGCTTATGCTTATAATTTTTTATATTTCACATACCAAGTGTATTCATGTTTGCTCAGATGTAACATGGGAATCCTGTCTCAGCTGTATTCAGCTACAGACTATATGTTAACACCTGGAATGACTGTGCACAGGCCAGCCTGCAGGGCTGTCTAGAGGCCACAGACTTGAGCATCTTCAAAGGGGCCACAGATGACATTGTTGTTCCTGGTACTTTTTACCATACTGACTCTGAGAGACGAGACAGTCCAAGTAACTACAAAACAGTGCTGATTTATTCCATGAACACAGGTAAAAATTAACATTACACGCTCAGGCATCATGCACCTCCAAACTGCACGCAGGCAGATGAAAGATGAAAGACCCTGAACCAATCCAGGCCTATACATTTATCTCTGCGGTTGGGCTAGCCCCATACTACACAGGAACGTCAAACCGTTCTGTGGGGCAACAGTATCAAGTGTCGTATGCAGGGAGGCTGCAGCATTATCAGCAAGATTATTAACTTGTGTGGGAGTAAGGTTAAGGTTATTCAGATTCAAAACTGTGTTAGAAAGAAACCGGGTGTGTCCTATAACAATACAGCATGTACAGTACTATGGAAACGGTTTTCAAACAAATTACTTTGTGGTATACATTTTAATTATAATAAGCTTTTGCATGTTTGCCCAGTTTGACTGTCCTTCACCATTAAAGTGTAGCATACAGTCATGTCCTGACTGTTTCTGGGTAATATTAAATGTGTTTCTAAAGCATTTTGGGCCCTATTCTTTTCTTTACAGATGTTCCATCTGGGCAGCTTTATTTTTCAGGATGATGTCATATTTCACCAAATATTTCTAGATTGTTACTTTACTGGACAACCTCACCTCTTCACTTATATCATTCTTTGATTGACTGGTTTTTGTTTGATTTTTATTTATGTATTTTTACAAAATGAACAGAATTCGAGGCTCAAAAGTAGAAGGACAGAGCCTGCAGCCAAAGTTTGGTTGTCTGTCCAAGCAGATTAAGCCACAAATTATAGATCTGGGAAGTAGGTTCAGGCAAAATTTTGGACTTAATATTTAATAAACAGGACTAATTTGATGTTTTATTATCCTAACTTTGTACCTTGTAGGCTAGTCGTTAAGGTGCAGTGCTCTTGCTGCTGCGGCCCGGGTTCGAATCAGGGTTGAGTCGGAAGGGCATCCGGCGTAAAAAAAACAAAAAAACACTGCCAAATGTAAACATGTGAATTGTTAGTGTGACGATTCGCTGTGGCGACCCTTAAACGGGGAAAGCCGAAAGTGACTTTCTATTATCCTAACTTCAAATGTAGTCATATTTTACTCACCTATTTTTGTTTAGATTTTTAATGTTTTTAATTTAACCCTTTACTGTAGTTTACTGTTTTTCTCCTTTTTAATACAGCATGTATTATTTTGATCAAATCAGCATTTTAAATGAATTTAAAATGCATATTAGGAGAAGCTATTCCATGCTGAATTAGACACTTTATCTTTAAGCGCTGCACAAGATACAAGGCAATTCAGAGGGAGATCTCCAATATGGGATCTCTGAGCAGACTGGATCTTGACTCCTGCTCCCTGTGGAACCTATGTTATTTGTGGTGCTAGCCTAATTATTCATTACCCCCAGCAGACAGATACTGCAAACAGAATGAAGCCATTGCTCAGTGTCACAGTCAGTCAAGCAGAAAGAGACACAAATGGGAACAGATGCCCCCTCTCCCTCCTCAACACATACACACAGGCACACACATGCTGTAGACTGATGGGGAGGCAGCAGCCGTGGTAGAATAGCATGACTTCCTTTCACTGTTGTAATCCCATAGAGGATTACAGGTAGGAGCAGCAGTGTATAAGCCCATGTTCCATACAACAAATGGGGCCATCAGGAAATAGAAAATAGAGAGGAAGCTTACTGTCAGTTCTGTACAATGGTATGTGTGTGTGTATGTTGCATGCGTGATGTGTAACTAAAACACTCTCTCAGACATCATTCTTACACAAGATTAAAACAAGAAAACAATTGGTGTCATGGCTTACTGCTAACCTTGAAACAGAGCAGACTAGAGCAGACTTTGAATCTTACTAAACTACATTCTAACACATTAAAGTCTAATAATTATCTGACTGATTTATTAATTTCTAACAGAATCATCAAGTCTGTTCTCTGCTCATCCATCATTGTCTGGTTTGGCTCAGCAACCAAACAGGACAGGAACAGACTCCAGTGAACAGTCAGGACTGCAGAAAGAACCATTGGTGCCAGTCCATGGAGGACCTGCACACCTCACAGGTCAAAAGGAGGGCAGAGAAAATTTCTGCTGGACACAATGTGTTTGAACTCCTCCCCTCTGGACAGTGCTACAGGTCACTGTACACCAAAACAACCAGACACAAGGACAGTTTCTTCCCCCGGGCTGTCGCTCTGATGAACATTTAACCCATTACTGTATAACAGGACAACATCGGCCAATGCAGTAAATTACAGTTATAGTAAATGTACATAACCAGACGGTGTCCCCCCAAGACTGCTCAGAGCCTGTGGGGATCAACTAGCTAGTGTGTATACAGACATCTTCAACGTGTCTCTAACTCAAGCAGTAGTTCCTCGCATTTTCAAAAAATCCATCATCATACCGGTCCCTAAGACATCAGACACAGTGGCACTCACATCAGTCGCCATGAAGTGCTTAGAGAAACTGGTCCTCACACACGTTAACCACATGGTCCCGGACATTGTAGACCCCCTCCAGTTTGCATACTGCCCCAACAGATCAGTGGACGATGCAACGGCTCTGGCTTTATTCCAGACCCTGAAACACCTGGACAACAGCAGTACGTATGCTAGGATTCTCTTCCTGGATTACAGTTCTGCATTCAACACCATTCACCCGGGCAGGTTGACTGGGAAGATGACAGACCTCAGTGTTCCAACTCCCACCCGCAACTGGATTCTGGACTTCCTGACTGAAAGACCACAGGTGGTCAAAATGGGAGGGCGGGTGTCTGCTGAGCTCACAATCAGCATGGGCAAGGACAGTTTCTTCCCCCGGGCTGTCGCTCTGATGGACCTTTAACCCATTACTGTATAACAGGACGTTATACTGCCAGTGCAGTAAATTGCAATTATAGTCAATGTACATAACAATCTTAAAGCTCGTCTGCCACAGTGT